GCGGGGCTTGGGCGCCTGGATTCAGAAGATGCCTGGTTCGAACCTCAGGTCCACCACGACTGGCAGGGAGGTCTCATTCGCATCATCTCTCTGAGTCTCCGACTCATTTATCAGTGAAGTAAGGGTGTCTTAGCTCAGGCTGCTGCGACAAGGTATCACAGGCCGCGGGGCTCAAACACCAGAAATTTATATCTCACGGGTCTGGAAGCTGCGAGTCCCAGATCAAGGTGCCAGGAGATTCGGCTCCTGGTGTGCAGAGAGCTGTCTTACGTTGTGCACTCGCATTGTGGAAAGCAGAGAGAGAAGCTACTCTCTGGTGTCTCTTCTCATAAGGGCACTAATCCCACATGCGGGCTCTACCCTCATGACCTAATGCCCTCCAAAAGGCCCCACCTCCTAACATTGTCACATTGGGGATCGGGGTGACACACACGTGCAGTACAGTGTGTAAACACAGAGATCCATAAAGCCAATGTCTCCAGATTTCCTTCAAAGAACGGTGGCTTTTCATAGTGGCACACGGCAGGTCCTCAGTAAACAGTCGTGGAATAAAAGGAAGGAGAAAGGACGAGAAAAATCACGTTCTAAACCGCCAAGTCCGAAGCAGACGTCAGTGCTTACTTTTCTCCCCAAACACGAGGAACCTTTGGAGAAGCGCTTTCTGCATCATACCTGACTTTCTAGCCTAAACTCTGGGTCCTAAAATTCAGTCAGTCCAAGAAAACATTCCCCAAGCATGTCCTGTGCACCTGTCATGATGCCAAAATCTGGAGCAAGAGAGAGAACAGGACCCAGAGCGTTCTCTCAAATCATTTCCAATCCTGGCGGAAGAGGTGGCGTTCGAGAAACGTGGATGCTGTTCCTGGAGACAGAATGAAGCCCAGGGCGGGGACAATAGGGACCAAAGTTCCAAAGCCTGGTCTTTCCTCTAAGGAGCCCATGAGCCCATCGTGGGCACCGCTGAGGAAGCGCAGCATCCGCTGGTCTGACAGATCTCATCGGAAGAAATAACATCAGGCACGTACATTTTCCCCTACACTTAGGACTCCCTCCTCTGCATTTGCTGTCATGTTCTGACATTAATTGAGCTGTCTTCGCTACTAAAAATAAACTCCAGGTCAAATGCAATGAGCCAAAAACCTCAATATGAAACCACAAGAAATAAATAGTAAAATGGGCCAATACGAGAGGTGTTTTGAAAAAGTTTCTGTTTCAAGTGTAGCATTCCAAGGGGGTCAGAGGTTCTTTCGGTGTGGTGGACAGCAAACACAGGAAGTGACCTTTACCCACGCACCTACGGCTGACGACGGGGGCTGGCTCTTGACCGCAGGCAGGCAGGCAGAAGCTGTCAGGGCCGCCCTCTCCCTAAGGCCCCGAGGGGGTCGACTTGGGAGCGTTGAACAGGAGCTAAGAGATGCTCCCAGGAGGAGAGGGGTCCGAAAGAGCAAGGCAGAGGTCAAAGGGAAGAAGCCCACCTGTGTGAATGTCCAGGGAGGGGCCTGGATGAGAGAGTAACGCAGAGAAGGTCAGGAGCGCGACAGGTAAGCGGAGGGAGGAGAAGCAAGTCAGGGCCCAGGCTCACGCATGGGGAAGGCACAGCTGCCCCCCGACCAGCGAGCAGCCCAGGTAAGTTGCTCTCTAGCCAGGGATGCAGGCAGACGGCTCCCAGTGGGAGCAAGCAGTGCCTTTAGGACCAGGAGACCACGGCACAGCACACATGCTTGGGCCATTATCAGAGCCTCCATCACCAACCAGCCGTGCCCCGGACGTGCTCAGGACCGAGGGCCTCTGAATCTCAGCATCTACTCTGCTCTGTCTGCTCCCAGGAGCTGAATTTCAGGGAAATTCCTCTCCCGTCACCCCCACACGGACCTGCCAAGCCTCCCCTCCATTCACAGAATGTAAGCAACACTGCTCACTTGTGCAGTCACATCATCAAGAGAAGGTTCTTCAAGCTCTCACATCTTCTACCCCAGTGACTGGAGTCCCATCTGCCCTTCCCTCCGAAAGCTCACTGCCTGGATCAGGCGCCCACCACAAAACTCTAGGACTGGCTGAGTGCCCGAGAGACGAAAATGGCACACAGCACTTGCACAGGAAGTCCTGTCAGCTGCACTCACTGCAGATGAGTTCCGACACCAGAAGTGGGAAATTAGATCATGAAATGCAAATGAATGGGGCATGGAAGCGCTCCAGGGTGCAAAGTTCCACAGGGCAGAAAGGCTTCTGAACTGCCAATCCCCTCAGCTCCCAGTGGGTCCCGTTCGTGTGCATTTTTCAAGAGCCTGAAGAGGCAACGCCCTCTCCAAGAAACATCCCCAAGGGACAAGGGCTTCGCCCCAGGCCTCCCGCACACCTGGTGCATCTGGAGTGTCCTACCTGTGCACCATTCCTCCCACCTGGGCTGAAGGAAAGGCCTCGTGCTCCTCATCTCTGTGTGTCGCGAGATGGCTGAACACAGGAGACTGGAAACACAAATGCACTCGGGAAGACGTCACGCGCAAGAGAAAAGACGACTCGAGTCGCACGTTAACACAATCCCGCCGCCTTCTCGGTCCCGACTCCCTGCCTTCGCGGGGTCCGCGCTTCCTCACCCCCTTCCACCCCACATTGCTTTCGAACTTGTGGTAGGAACCTGTCTCCTTCTTTCCTCAAGTTACTCTTTTCGACATCACCTTTAAATGGACAATTACAACGGACCTCATTCGTTGCTCTAGGCTTCAAACACTTTCTTCTCTTGGTTGTCTGTCTCTCTGCCCTCTCCTCCCTCCTTTTCTACAAGCCATTCTGTCCACATCCACGACGGGAGGCCTGACCCTAGGGTGTCAGGACCTGGGAGACAGTCCTTGCTGGAATAAGCTCACCAGTGACTGGGAGGATGGACGGGGCAGAGGGCAAAAAACCACAGGGTATAATGGAGGCCGGCCCGAAGCTGCGGGCTGCAGGCCAGCGGAAGCAGTAAGCAGCTCTGCTCAGGGCTCAGGGCTGGGATGGGGGTTTGGGGTGGGTCTGTGCACAACCTGCAAGATGATTCACGGCAGATTTGGCGGCAGGTGAAAGGCAGAGAGGAGCCCATCAAGGACTTCACAATAGCCTGAGGCATGGAAGGACCTCTACATGATGTAATTAATGCATTTAAAAAAATAAAATAAAACAAACCTCCCATTTCAGAGCATTTCCGCCCCTATTGCAGGCACCATGCTAAGCTCTTTATCTCCATGTCTCATCCTATACCCACGACATCCTCCTGAGGCAGGCGCTAATACTAGCCCAATTTTACAAATGAAGACACTGAGGCTCGAGGAGGCTGAATGATTTCGCCCAAGGGGAGGCAGGTAGCTAAACCAGGACAAACTGGGTCTGCCTCTGAGAGCCCTCAGTATTCACCTCTCACCCTTCACCCCAGGCAGCTTCAGACCTGTGTGGCTGGAGCGGGCCATACAGGGAGGATGGCAGAGAGAGAGATCACACCCTAGATGTCCCCAGAGGCTTTTTGATCTGATCAGGTAATCGCCCTCCACGCTCCTCCTCATCTTCTCCCAGGTGCAGTCTGCACGGGTCTCAGCAGGACAGCGGGAAGAAAGGAGTGGTTCAGCCACACGGGAAATGGGGGGCTCCTTCCCTGGCGAGGGACAGAAGGAGAGCTCCCAAAGCACGAGGTCCGGGCGACCAGATGCTGAGAGCCAGGTCCCATGTGTCAGGGTGAGGTGACAGGAAGCCTACTTCCCAAGCGCCATGGAGCAGCACAGGAGGCCAGGCCGAGAAGTCAAGGACCGCAGCCCAAGTCATGCCGCAAGAGATCACCAATCCCCAAAGCCACTATTGATCCCATACGACTCAAAAGGAGAATATCTCTTACCTTAATTCTCCAAATCTTAAGACATCACAACTTTACTTGAGAAGGACGTTCTCAAGTCCCTCTGGAGTGTTGAATGGATATGTACATTTTTCGGGTTAAAAGCACCTAATCCCAGGTATATCAGGATTCTGAAAATATACAAGGATGAAAAATTGTTAGCATCCATGTCCACATGAACAGATCTGGTAATGAGATATTTCATTTATTTAAAAACTAAGAAGTACCTATTTACCATATGCTCCATGAGAAGAACTGGAAGAGCAGACATTTACTGAGCACGTATTATGTGCCAATTAATCCCGTGAGATTGGTTTTAATAGCCATTTAATCCCGTGAGATTGGTTTTAATAGCTCCGTATTTTGGAAGTCGAGTCAGAGGCCGGCCAGAACGGACGGTCAGGTCTTCCTGACCCCCGAGCCCTCACCCGCCGGCCACATTCCTCCTCCCAACTAAGACTTGCATTTGTCTGATTCCAGGAATTCTGGCTAAAGGGGAAAGAGAAACACATCTCGTCACTTCATGCTGAGACCGGCCTGTTCCTGGAGCCTGCACATTCCACAGATGGTGGGGATTACATGCACCACGGATGCTGCGTCGGGTTAATTTCGTTGTAACTTTTATCTGAGCTCGACACTGTCATCTGGTAACACAGGATCAGTGGACATCACGCATTACTCAGGGACTCGCCAGGGAGTCCTATCCTAACTGATAACTGAGGCAGCTACACGGGGGAGCCCAAAGGGCTTAGACAGTGCAGGGCCACCGCTGGGCTCGCCAGCTCCACGAGGCCCTCCTAGGTGCCCCGAAGCCGGGCCGAGTGCTCGGCAGGGTGGGCCGCTCAGACACTGACCTCTCCTTCGAGGGACAGTGTGGCATCCCCAGAAAGTCACGCTATTGCATTTACAACGGGGCGACCCTTTCCCCTTCCAGACCTCTGTCCTGCCCCCCTCTCTGCGAAAGCCCCCCAGCACTTCGACGCCAAATCATCAAGAAGATGGAGCTCAGTGAACACAGACTCAGAAGAAAGAAGACTGACTAGTTCCAAAGGGGAATTGCCCTCAATTTGGGAACAGCTGGAGAAACATTCTTCCCCCAAGGGCAGAAGCCAGGTGGCCCGAATTCCCCACCATCAATTCCCTCTCTCCCCCAGGAAAAAATGTGACCATAATTTGCTTCTCTGAGACCCTCTGGTTGTCACATTCCTCCCTTGGATGTGCTACTGTCACCGTGGGACCTATCACAGCTCTGCCAGCCTGAGAGAGTTTGTCTCCTACCTTCAAACGCTGGCTGAATCCCTTGGGCATTCGGTGCCCCAGCTCCCAGCAGGAGTGGGTGGACTCCCCCTTACTCACAAAAGTCCCCCGGACCGACACTGCGTTCAGAAAGGTGCCGTCTGCACATCCACGCTCCCGTGGGCAGCCTCCCATGCTTCTCAGACATTGTGACCTGGAAGGCACTTTGTCCTTGTTGTCAAAATGCATTGGTTTCATGTCCCCAAAAGGGCAGCGGCTCCGCTCCCCAGTTGACTGTGGGCACTTTGTCAGGCTGCCTGGGTTGGCATCCCAGTTCTACTGAAAAAGACTTTTTAGGAGCCTGAGCAAGCTACTCTCTGAACCTCAGTTTCTCATCTTAAAGGTCTGTTGTTAGCGCTAAGCGAGAATCTTTACAGAGCTGAGTACTTGGCCTGGCACATTACCAACGCTCAGAAGAGTCAGTGATTGTGCATACCGCTTAAGCAAATGCTCAGGCCTTAAGGTCTTAGCCTCCTCCCAACAGGGATGGGGGAGGTCTCCCCTCTTCCTATGTCACCACAATGACTTCGTCAGCGTAGGGGCTCAGGGAACAAGTGAAGCCGATGAGAACGAAGCTAAGCCTGGTGTTTGAGTCAAAGGGCCTCGGCCCCAGCCTCGTGTGACCCTCACGTCTCAGTGTATTCATCCATGAGATGCAGTGGATGAGAACCGTGACCCATCTCCTGGTCGTGCCGCCGGGCTTAAAGGAACTTGTGCGTGCAAAAGGTGCCCCGTAAACCATAAGGCACTAGGGAAATGGAGTGCACACGAACCAGCAACAGGGCCGTTCACAAGCGTCTGCTGTACGGGACACTTGGCTGAGGAACATCTTCCCGAGACCTTACTGAGCGCCCACGATGACCCCGGGAGACCGGGTCACAGCACAACCCACGCCCCCATTTTACGAACGTGGAAACTGAAGCTCACAGAGGATAACGGGCTGCCTGACACCAAACCACGAACACACGGCTCCATCCTCGCTTTGCAAGCTCGCTCTGCTCCTCCTTCTAAGGGGCTGGCGACAACCCAGAGAGGCAGCTCCCGCCCAGAAAGAGCCTCTTTCCAAAGCAGCCAAACTGATTAATGTTTTTAATTAATGTTTTAGGCCATGGAGCAGTGTTCCATGGAAATTAAGGAGCTAAAATGTCTAAGTTTCTCTCAGGAGGCAGCTTGCTGCCCGAGCTGGGGGAGGGGTCCTGGACAGGCCAAGGTGGCCAGGATAGAAAGGTCACAGTCCCAACTCAATGAACTGAGCCTGGCTGGCAGTACGGTCACTTCCTACCCATAGAGACAAGCCAGGGATAAAGGAGACTGGCCCAGCACAGGGCAACGGGACTGGCTCGGCCACTCGTCCTCAGGATCAGGCCGGCCCAGCGGAAGCTGGAGCTCAGGTGCCAAGGGAGGCCTGACACGCAGCCTGGGCCTGGGGCCTGGGCCTGAAGGGTGCGGTGGCTGCTGCTCCCAAGCCCTCCTGCCTGACACGCTGTCCCCAGGATGGAACAGTCACCTGCTCCGTGGCTGACAGATACCCTGCCCTTGTGCCTGAAGCAGGGGACCGTGGGCTTTCTCAGGATGCTGACAATACTTCCCTGCCCTGGTGTCACTCCGGATGGCGGAAGATCACTGGTGGGACCCGATGCTGTGCTCTGATGAATGAGGAGCCTGAGTGCCCATGACAAGCCCCCAAGGTTCCCAGGAGGTGAGAGGCAGATGGGGGCTCAGACATCGGCCCCTTGGCCATTGTGTTCTGGGATCTTCCTTACTGTGCCAGCAGAGTTCCAAGCATGTCACAGACTCAGAGCATGTCCACAACCCAAAAGGCCAGGCTGTAAAACCTTCCCTTCATGGCGCACGGAGTTCCACTGCGGGTGAGGCTGCCTCGTTCTCAAGGCGGCTGGCCTTAAATGCCCCCTGGTTGTTGCCTGGGCAATGGGTCCAACTGGGTGCACTGACGGCAGCCAGGACCAGCCACCACACAGGCAGGGGCCCTGGGCTGCTCAGCAGGAGACAGTGAACCAGCCATCAAATGAACCACTGCACGGGAATTCCTGACCTGGAAGTTGTCAAAATGCCATCCAGTCACAGCAAACAGACCACGGAGGTGGACTGAGGCACCTACAAGAGCAGAGGACAGGCCAGCTCCCCACCCACCCACCGCTCAGGAAGCTCCTGAGAGCATCCCCGGCCTTGGGATGTGCTCGCTCCCCCGTGGAGAAGGCCCTGGAAAAGGACACAAACTCCGGAACTCCTGTGCTTCTCCTGGAGGGTCAGCAAAGCTGGGGAAAGCCTCCGGCCTGGCCCACGGTTTGCTCCCACTATGAGATCCAGCGGGCCTGAACGCAGAGGCAGCATCTGCAAGCTCAGGACACAGGCTGCCCCGGGGCAGAGCTCGTCTGCACCGTTAACAGCTGTGCATCCTGGGCAATCTACTTAACCTCTCAGATCGTCATCTGTAAATCAGGGCTGGTGAGGGCAGTTACCTTCCAGGACGGGGTGGGGACCTCTGCAGTGTATGCAGAGTGCTCAGATGTCAGGCTGGAAGTACTTTATTAATACTTTGCTATTCTCAGAGCCTAATTGCCATCATTGTTCTTAATTGCCTGGCAGGCAGATTACATAATCCTGGATCTGAATCCTGGCTCTGCCATTTCCTGAGCATGTGACCACGGGCCGATCACTTGACCTCCCTCTGCCTCAGTTTGCTCATCTACAAAACATAGATGTGACCACCAGCCGTACTGGACCACCAAGGATGACAGGACACAGGTTACAAACTAAATCAAGGGGTACAGTATGAACCTTCAAGAACGAAGAACCCAATCCAAACTGAGGGACATTCCACAAAGCAAATGGCCCGGACTCTTCAAAACTGTCACGGTCCAGAACAGCCGAGGAACTGATCCAGGATAAGGAGACATGGCCGCTAAGAGCAATGGTGGCCCGGAATCAGGAAAATCCAAAGGGACGTTACTGGGACAACCGATGAAGTTGTGCGTCGCCTGCGGATTAATTAGATAAGGCACTTGTAGCAATGCTCAGTTTCCTGAGGTCGATCTTTACACGGCCATTAAGGAAGACGAGATCGTCCTCGTTCTTAGGAAGCACACACTGGATATTTAGGGATAAAAGGACATGTCTGCAACTTCCTCTCAAGTGGTTCAGGAAAAAAACAGTGTGTGAGGAAGGGGGTCGGGTGGAGAGTGAGGTAACAATCGGTGAATCTGGGCGTACAGGTGTCCTTTGTATCATCCTAGTCATTTTTTTCTGCCCGTTTGAAATCCTATCCCAATACGAGACGACCCGGAGCTCAGGAGCAGGGTGGAAGAAACAGGCCGAGAGGGTTGAGTATCAACCACCCGCACAAGCCAAAAGCACAAGCCTTTCTCCCCAAAGCCACGTCACCTTATTACGTACACACGTTACGATTTATTGTGTAGAAAACTACAAAGGATAAAACTGAAATTTAATTTGAACCACGACCCCTCCCGCCAAGAAAAAGAAAGACAAATGGATGGCTCCCTCTACAACTTCTACTCCGGCACCCCAGGCTGGGCCTGGAGGGCCCACATCCTTGGCATCAAGCAGGAGCCAGGAGCGGCACCCTGGACAAGGGCAGAGGTCGTGGGAAGGCAGCCGAGGTGGGCTTCGGCTACACGCCAGCGTGGCAGGAACTGCCTGCCACCCCAGGCCTCTGGTCCTCCCAACAACCCTTCAGGCAAATGCTATCGCATTCCCATCTCACCCTGCAGGGAACTGAGGCTGGAGGGAACCTCATACCCTGCTTTTCTATCTCGAATGCGGGTGAGCTGGGATGTGAGCCCAGGAATTTCCACAG